CGGCCTAAAACCGGCCTCTGGGAACGCCACCAAGCCTCGCCGGCCACCTGGGTCGCCGTTCGACCGCCGCTCGCCGGCCGGCGACCGAATTAAAAACCGGCCTCTTTGAGGCATTTTGTCGAACACCGGGTGTGCGCGATCAAAAACGGGAGGTTCCGACATTTGAGGCCCCACCGTCCTCGGGAAACCCGTTCTTACCTTTGGCGGCAGCGCTTGCGGACGGTGGGGACGGCGGTATGGGCACGGACTTCGCGCGGCCCGGCGCGGGTCCGGCAAACCGGGAGCAAAAACGAGGGAGAAACAGGCTTGATTCGGGCCGGGGACGACTCACCGGTCGATGGCGCGTGCTGGGGAGGCTTCCGGCGGGTCGGGGGGGGCGATGGCGACGCTGCTGGTTCTCGCTCGTACTCCGGCGTGATCTCGGTACGCTCTAAACTCACTCTCTCCCTCTCTATTCTCTCTCTGTCTTTCTCTACTCTGTTTTTCTCTCTCAAATGGCCGCGAATCCGATCCGGTCGGCGACGTCGGTTCGGCGGATCACCGGCGGCTCTAGCTCGCCGGGGGGGGACTCCTGCGACTATACTCTCCTACCCGTGAGCCAAAAGAACGGGAAAAAGCACACCCAATCTCTCATTCTCTCGGTTTTTCTCTCTTTCCATGTTTTTGTTCAAAACGGCCGACCTAGGCTCTCTGGCTCTCTGTGTCGCCGCCGTCGGCTTGGCGGCGGGGATGGATGGCTGAAGCTGAGGCGCGGTGGCCGCCGAAAGCTCCCTTTCTCTCTCGGCTCCACTCTTACGCTCTCTCTGTGTTTTTTCTCCAAAATGGCCGACCGTCTCTCTCTCTCTCTCTTTCTGTCTTTCATAGCCGACGACGACGAGTCTGGGCCCGGCCGCGTCGGCGTGACGATGGCCTGCACCGGCCTACGCCACCCCACGACTTTCGTGGCTATGGCGAGCCGGTGCGAGCGAAGGGGCCGTTCAATGTGCGAGACGAGAGGAGAAGGAGAGAGAGAGAGAGAAAGAAGAGAGATCGGGAAACGGGGAGAAGGGGACGGCCTTAATGGCCGGTCCGTAGCGTCTTGCCCCGATCTTGCTCATTTGGATGGGGCAGGACGGCCACGCTCGGCCGCTCGTCGCCTCTTGCGTCAATGACAGAGGAGAACAGGGGGAAGGAGAACGACGGTTTGGCGAGGGGGAAGAAGGAAGGGAGCTGGGCCAGGCCGGGCCCAGCTCGCGCGGGAAGAAAAAGAAAAAGAAAAGTGGGCCAAGCCCACGCCGGGGGAAAGGAAGAAAAACGAAAAGGGCCGGGTCGGCCCAGCCTCAACCCGGCCCGACTCGGTTTTTTTTTTTAAGGATTAATTAGGAAAATATGCTCAAATAGGCCCTATTAATGCAAATATGCCTAATTCCTATATGCAATGCATTTAAATAGAAATATTTTTTTATTTTAGGAATTAATGAAAATTAACTCCTAAATTTTGTGTAATTAATTTTGGGCAAATTAAAAATAGGTGTCAACAATGGTCAAGAACTTGGGGAGCAAGTTTTGACTTGGAAGAGTTTAGAGAGTCAAGAACTTGGGGAGCAAGCTTTGACTCTTAAACTTGGTGAACAAGTTAGTGAATTGCCTATAAATAGGCTTGGTTCCCCCCTTAGTTACCACATACCACTTCCTCGCCTCTCTCTCAACTCTCACCCTCATGCCAAACACTTCTCTCTCTCTCTCTCTCCCTCTCGTCATTTGCCGCTGCCGACCGCCGTAGACGTTTTCTTGTGATTATAGGTGAGTGAATTTCCTAACACTTGGATAGGGTAGCATGTTACGTGGTTGGAACGCGGCATGTAAGTGGATTCCCTAATCTTGGAATAGGAAGTTATGATGCGTTGTTGGCTTGAGTTCTCATCCGAGCCTTTGTTGAGACTTGCGTGTTGATGTTTGTCTCGATGTTGCACGCATCGCTTGTTACCATGCTTAATGTTCTCATCCGTGCTTGTTGATTTATAAGAGGATAGGACGTGGTGTTACGAGTTTGGCTCGAGCAATGACCGTGTCTGTGATGCTCGATGTTTGCATGAGTGCTTATTATTTTGCTTCATAATCGTAAGTCAAGGCACGTACGAGTCACGAAACAGGGTGTCGTATGGTCTCATACTCATGTTGTGGCATAATGGGACGAGTTCGGCTTGGTGCGGGTTTACATTGAGGTGTGTAGATCCAGGCCAAGTTTGGCTTCGAGCCGGTGCTCGGCATGGCGGACCGAACCACATTCCCTCAACCGCGACCCCCATGTTTGGCGAATGTTCTAGAGATCACGATTACACAAGCACGGCACGCCTTCGGGCTTGATTGCATGGACTAATGAAATCAAGATAATAAACAGGCTTGTGTGACCCATGATGTGTGATCACTAAATAAAAGAAGAAGATTGTCGTTACATTGGCGACAATGCCTCGGTAAACTAGCCCCGGGATGCTTGGATTGAGCCTGGATGCCTCGGTAAACTAGTGCCGGGATGCCCTAGTTGAGCTAGAATGTCTTGGTTGAGCCCGGATGCCTGGGGTGAGCTAGCCCCGGGATGCTTTAGTTGAGCCAGGATGCCTTGGTTGAGCCAAGATGCCTAGCATGAAGCTAGATGCCTCGATTGAGTCGGGATGCCCTTATTGAGTCAAGATGACGATAAATGAATCTTATATGTATGCCGGTATGTAATAAATGAATTCTATATGTGTGCTGAATTTATGTGACCGGATAAATGTGAGTTTCCATGTGAACATAGCAAGGGCAAGTTCAAAGTCTTTGCTATTGATTTGCCATCGACATAAGTCGGGGAAAATATTTATATGCGTTAGTACAACGACGAGGCATCATCCTGCACAAAATATTAGTGAATTTACTCATTGAGTCTCCCCGACTCATCCCCCGTTGTTTTCCTTTTCAGATTTGTAAGATGGAGGATGACATAAAGGAGCTAGGATTAACCTCGGCCTTCGCTTGAGATATGATTTGTACGTGGAACGGCCTGTGGAAAAAAGGGCTTGTAAAATATATTTAAGTAAAATGGCAATAATTTGTCTTATCTGTTATGCTTTCCTTGATTTCCAGCTGTTATTATGGGAATTTGTTTATACACGTTTCCGCATGTGCTTAATAATCAGATGAAAGAAACGGGACGGTGACAAGCCTGTAATGTCAAATTAATAACCCCGAGGTAAGATAAGGACGTTACAACCCACCACTTAAAGATCCATTAGGATATTAGCTACTCGTGGGGAAATTAATTTATCTCACCATGACCAGGCCCGATATATGTTATATGGAAGACAAAGAAACAATTAACTGTGTCTTTATCATCAGCTGAGTCATAATATCGAGCTATGGTAAAAACTATTTGTGAGATAGTTTGGATACGAGGTTTGCTATTGGATCTTGGGGTACAAATTGATGGACAAAGTGAACTATTTTGTGACAATGATGCAGCACTAAAATTAGCAGCAAACCCAGTTTTTCATGAAATGATCAAATATATAGAAGTTGACTGTCACTTAACTTGAGAAAAAATTCAAGAAGGGATTGTTACAACTCGAGGAATTGGAACTGTGGAACAGCCTGTAGACATCTTCACTAAGCCTTTGTGCAAGAGACAGCATCCGTATCTACTAAGCAAGCTGGGCGTCTTTGACATATACAAGCCGCCAGCTTGAGGGAGAGTGTTAGAGAAAGATATGATTTGATGCTTGACTCCGATTCTAATCACGGAGATTGAAGATTAATTGATTTGATCAATCGAGATAAAATAGGAAAATGTATCATGTTTATTCTTTCTTTGATTTCCTTCTGTACTATAAATAGTGGTATGTACATGTGCATAATACATAAGACAGAATACACAAATTTCCAACATTCTTCCTTCTTTATAATTTCTGTCAATTTTAACAAGAGAGGGCGTGACACAAAAATCTAATCGGCTCTCGTGATGAATCTTTCTCCAAGTCAATGGGTATCAAGATCACTCGAACACCGTCTGTTAATTATGCTTTGAGTTTCTTTGTGTGAGCTCAAATGATTCATGAAATTTTTCGAGATAGATATGTAAAAATTCGAGCTGAGGAATTTTTGGAGATACGCAATGGAAGCGAAGGGCTCAAGCGACATGGATGAAAGTGTGTTTTACCGTTATAGGGTAAATATCCGTTAAATGATATAGTATATACGAAAAAGGTAATTAGATGAAAAAAAGAACAAATGGAGTTGATGGCAACATTGATGAATCTATGCAGGTTACGATCGATATTAAGCCTCGTTCGGTCGGAACTTGGCAGTATTTCCAAGTTTGGACCGGCTCACTTGCCGTCGAATCGGTCAGTTGGTCTTGGATAACCTTAGATATGGTAATTATCCTGTTAAGTGTTATGCACATCAAATTTGACATTAAAATGCATCTTTTACATCCCAAAATCATCAAAGTTGTCAAAAAAATATCATAACTATCAATGTTATCTGCCGAAATGTTTGTTGGCCTAGGCTAGCTCTATCGCGACTCCATGCATTTAGATTTAGACTAGATCGTCACCTTTAATTTGTACTTTCTGCTCTTTAGTGGGTGGTCAAAGCAATGCATGAGTACAAGAACTCCATCTTGCACATGAGTGATGAAAAAAGCGAGTGAGTCGATGTAATGCATGAGGATTGAGTACTAAGAACGCCATATTGCACACAGCTAAGGCAAAAATCCAACGAGCTCCTTCTCAATCTAGGGGAAATCTACACCAAGGTACAATGTCTCCCATACATTGTGTACTAAAGCACATGATCCGATCAGTTCAGATGCACTTGTTATTTGGTGTCTGAACTTTACTCAAATCTAGTATCTTTACCTTCTGATTAAGAATCATAAAGCCCTCGATGAAGCTGAAAAGACAATGCTTTTCTTCCATAAAATCTCCCCTTCTCAATCATCAATGTCATGTGTCAACTAATTGACATACCAAAAGTTGACCAGAATGTGCAATCTTATGCTTGCTTTGCTCATCTTCGTGTTGGGTCTTTCGTCCCTGGAAGTCTTGGCTCAACCTTTTCACACTCAAGTTACGTCCCTCCACAGGGACCCCAACAGTTCCCTCCACACCATCACCCTCACGCTGAACCCGTCCGAGCAATATCTTGTTGATCTTGACGCCCCTTTCATCTGGAACCTATGTGATTCGCCGCAACCCACGGTCTTTTGTGGCGAGCCCAAGTTCCTGACCACTCGCAGTTACATCTCTCCGCTATGCCCCTAGACGAATAGCACAGATGGCCAGTTCTCTTGCTGTGACACACCTGTGAACCCGATCTCCGGGTCATGTGCCTCATCTTATTTGAGTCTCAATGTTCTCACAGTATATTGGACCGCCGGTAGATCTCTCTCTGAATACAGGATACAGTACTTCAATCGGTATGTCTTGTCTGCTCCATCATCTCTCTTGCAATCTCTTCCAGCACAAGCAATCGGTGTTGCTTCATTGTCGTGGTCCACTCTCTCTCTACTATATCAATTTACCAAAGATATCCACGAGATTACACAGAAATTCTCCCTTTGCCTCTCGAGCTCAACTGATGATCAAGGAGTCATTTTCTTCGGTGACGGTCCATACTATCTTGAACCTCCGGCAAACTTTGATGCTTCAAGCGTACTTTCCTACACCCCATTGATGAAGAATCCCACAACGCTGGGATATTTTATCGATGTGACGGGGATATCGATCAACCGAAAGGCCATTAGGGCTCCAGCGAACATGTTTGCGCTTGACAAAAATGGAGGCGTGAAGCTCAGTACTACACTGCCGTACACTACCCTTAGGAGTGACATTTATAGTGTCTTCATAGGAGAATTCAAGAAGGCTCTGAAAGGCATCCCTCGAGGGAAGAAGGTGAGTCCATTCGACTTTTGCTTCAAGACGAATGTCACGCGACAGAAGAAGGACGAGAGCATTCCTCGAATTGATCTAGTGCTAGGAGATGGGGGGTACTGGACTATTCACGAATCTAATCTACTGAAACAAGTGGACAACAATGTAGCGTGCTTGGCATTTGTCGACGGCAGACACAGGGCGGAGCATGCAGTGGTGATCGGGACGTACCAAATGGAGAATATAATGTTGCAATTTGATTTGGTCCAGTCGAGATTGGGGTTCAGCTCTTCCTTGTCCTCCTTTGGGAGCTCATGTGGTAACTTCGATTTCACCGTTCGGCCTTGAGCATTTCTTTGCTTCTCAAGGGAAGTTCGATCATAAAGAACGAGCTACGTGCCTTTTCTTGTATGCAAAATAAAGTGCCCATGTCCTAGACCAACTCTCTGTCTGGGAAAGTCTCATGTAACGAAAGCATTTGCGTATGATCATCTGTTCTATCGTCTAAAGCGACGACACATCCCATTTTTAAGGATCTCAATTTCAGGCGTTTGGCGCAACTTTTGCCCAAAAACTTTGTACTTGTGCAACGGACATTGATTCAAAGAACTTTAATGAAAAGCAAATAATATTTTTGCACGTTGGATTAACAAGTAGAAATCTTGCTCTGAGCCAAAGAAAAGAACTATTATAAACATTTTGCTTAAATAAAACCGTATACCAACTTCAGAAGAACGAATTATTGAATCCACGAGCAAATGCGTAAGTTAACAATTCTGTCCGACAACAATCTTTCTCGAAGGATTTCAAATCTTGAATTTCTATTTTTCTTTTATCTTTCCACATATTTTTATACGTTTCATTTGTAAATTGTGTAACTATTATAAAGAGTCCCTCCCACACCTTGTCTATCCCAAAGACAATTGTCTCTTTCCAAAGTACAACATTTTTTCTTGTGGGTTGACAAATGGCCGGATATTATGCTCTAATAATACTATGATCATCCCTCAATAGGCTTACAACTAAGAGACAAGAGCAAGACTCAAAAACCTCTCAAATACAGTCCAATTTCTCACGTCCCCATATTCTTTCAAGGACCATTGTCCAGTGTCCAGCACGAGTTTTAACGTATTTATAAGCCTCCAACTTTTTTTTGGGTCAAATTTAATCCTCCAACTTCGAACGTTTGCTTTTGAGTCTTGTAGTTGTTATATCCATCTGTTTCTGCCCATAAAATTCGGAAAGTTACGTCTATGACCCTTTTTTTTAAGTTTATAAATGGAACACATTTACTCTAAGTTCTCGGCTTCATGTACGAAAGCAATTGAGTCCTAAACTTCTGTACCGACATAATCAAATCCTTATTCTTTTTGGAAAAAAAGAAATGTAATCAGGTCCAGATGAAAAATATTGAAAGTTGCACTACTAAAGAAAGGGAGAATACGGGATGAGCAAAACTGTCTTAAAATATGTAAGCTTTTCCTGCTATAATACATTTGACGTTAAATTATGATAATATTAGTTTAGGATTTTTAATCTTTTGGACATGTGCTTTTAAGGAAAGTAACACCCAATTTTTCCTTTTCGACAGTTCGACCTATAATTTCTCATTCATGGATGTTGATAAGATCCTTACATTTAGAAGCACCTTATGATGGCATAGCCTTAAAGTGAAGGGCGAGGTTCAAATGAGGAAATGCTTACGGTGGATATGTAGGCACCCATAGACAAGGAAGGGTGTAGTAATCGACATAATGTTTCGGGGAGTTGAAAATAAGCATAGATCCGGAGATTCTGGAATTGGTCAGCCTTTGGAAGTGCTGTTGATCCATGAGCAGGCAAGATACAACTTAACGAATTGAAACATCTTAGTAGCCAGGGGAAACGTAAGCAAAAGCAATTCCCGTAACAGCGGCGAGCAAAATGGGAGCAACCTAAACCGTGAAAACAGGGTTGTGGGAGAGCAATACAAGCATCGTGCTACTAGGCGAAGCAGTGAAATATTGCACCCTAAATGGTGAGAGTTCAATAGCCGAAAGTTTTATATATATATATATATATATAATTTCCATTTCTGTATATTACTAAAAAAGAGATATTTCGATTCCCTTTGAATTGGCTTTGGATGTTTTGATGAGCTCTACTTGATGATGTTCCCTCTCTTATTCTATGTAAACTTTGTCTAATCCAGCGAAAGATGAACTTATGTTGGGAAGGGTTTCATGCATTTTAGTCTAAGTCAATCAGGTTTCAGACAAAACCTCATATTTTTGTCACCGGACTAAAAGAAGACAAATGGTCGGTGATGGTATCATGTCCACGAAAGATCGATAAATCTTATGTTATTCCCACCGTCGTCTGGTTCTCATTAGAGAGTGCCTGCGCCTACTGGTCGCCTCAGCTGTAATCAATGACAAGGAATTATTCATGGACAAGACAACGAAGCAACGTTAGTTGCGTATTAATTAATTGCTTATTTGCTGACCGATTAATTAATTCTTGACCTAGAATAAGATCACATGGCCTAAAGGCATATACCACTAGTTTAATTCCTATCAGAGGCCATGATCTCTTCCTTCTGTCTCCCCCAATCAAGAAAGAAAAAGCATCCCCATCCACTAATCTTTCTTCTATTAACAATGACCACGTTAGCGCCAACCGTATCATATAAATTGACCGGTGTCCACTTCAGCAGTTTCTTGCCAAAATTAGCCATATGAACTCAATTGCCAAAACCTGAAAATGTTTAGTACTAAATTGGCACAATTGAAATGTTTAGGTCTGAATTGGCATAAATGCAATAAATTTAGAACTTTTTTTTGGTAATTATCCCTGTTATTATGTCCATATAGATCGATAAAGAGGTGCAATTTCAATGCAATTCTGGTGGAATTTTTTTTAATTCGTATGTTATCAACACCGTCATCTCGTTCTCACTAGATATTGGCAACGCGTACTGGTCGCCTCACTAATAATCAATGACAATGAATTATTCATTGAAAAGACGACGAAGCAACATTAGTGCTCATTACTAATTGCATATTGTCCACTACGAATTTGACGAACTTTTGAGGGCCAAGTCAAAGAAATCGACCCCGTTTCTCAATTGTGAGACAAAGAAAGAGTTTGACGGATGTCTCAGCCATCGCCTTTATCAATTGCTTATTTGTTGGCGCCTGATTAATTAATTCGTGATAAAGGATAAGATCACATGGCCTAAAGGCATATACCTCTATTCAAACGCCTATAAGAGGACATGATCTCTTCCTTCTATCTCCACCAATCTAGAGAAAAGCATCATTATTCACTTATCTTTTCTTCTTCTATTAACAATGGCCACTTCCCCTTTACCAAAAAAAAAACAATGGCCACTTCCTCTAGTTTCATTTTCTGTTCTTTGCTCCTGTGCTTAGTCTCTTCCCAAACCCTAGCCATCACAAGTTTTCAGCCCAAGGCACTTGTTGTTCCTGTGACCAAAGACTCCTCAACGCTCCAATACACAACCCAAATCAAGCAAAGAACACCACTTGTTCCCATTAAGCTGACCATTGATGTGGGTGGGATTTTCCAGTGGGTGGATTGTGGAAGTGGGTATGTTTCATCTTCCTATAGGCCGGTCTCTTGTGACTCTCCAATATGCAAGGCTTCAGGGTCAGGTGCTTGTGAGACAGAATGTTACTCTCCTCCTGGACCCGGGTGCTACAACAACACCTGCAGCCACATCCCTAACAACCCGTTTAGCAGCATAGGCATCGGCGGTGGCGAGATGGCCTCCGACACCACCGTTGTTCAGTCCACTGATGGGAGGACGGTCGGGAAGGCGGTTGTGGTGTCAGCGGTAGTCTTCACGTGTGGTACAACTTCACTGCTTGAGGGCCTGTCTGCTGGTGCTCTGGTGAGTTTCCTATGATTAAACAGTCGATACACGACAAAAGAACACATGACAAATCGCATATATAACAAATGAGATACTGGTTGAAAAAACAAAGAGGTTTCTTTTTAACACGTTTACAGACGAGTTGTTTATCTCTCTATCAGTATTCATAAGGCTATCTGTGCTTTAAAAGTAGAATTATCAGTCAATAATACATGAAAAACCGGAGGAATTTTCTTTCTTGTAATTTTTATCACGACACATCAGTGTGCGTTGTTGAACATGTTGGCAAAAGGTTCTTAATCTTTGTTCTAGCACTACTAACCAGTACCTATGGAAGTACGCACAAATATGATAGGCGAAAACTGATTAATACTTTCTTGCACTCTAGGGAATGGCCGGGCTTGGACGATCTGAAGTGTCGCTCCCTGTCCAATTTGCTTCTGCTTTCAAATTTTCCAAAAAATTTGCCATGTGCTTGAGCTCTTCTTCAAGCTCCAATGGTGTCATATTCTTTGGTGACGGACCTTATGTGTTCCTCCCTAAAGTCGAGGTCTCTAAGTCACTCATGTATGTGGTCGTGAGCTATTTTAGCCTATTTGTTAGGCATTTTTATTGTATAGATTTCTTCCTGGTATAGAATCCTTCCTATTGTATATCTCCTAATTACAGTTGTCATATGTCCTATATATATAACAGGATTGAGCATTGTAAATGTACAGAAAAAATATTCATTGAATACAAAAAGGAGAGTCTTTTTCTACATGGTATCAGAGCCCTAGGGTTTGATCCTTGGGGTACTGTACGTCAATCATCGACTACGGCGGTCCCGCTACTGCCATTGAAAATTTTTTTTGGGCTCGCTTTCTTTCTCTATTGCGCCGTCCGACGTGCGTCTTGCCCGATCTTCTTCGTCGCAATTCAGTTTGCGAAGCTGATCTCATGGCCGACGAACAGTCGAGTGTTACAACTGACCAAGCGGATGCTAGTGCCTCTGCTACTGCCATTCTGGCAGACCTGACCGCTGCGATGAAGCAGCTCTTGACCCAGCAAGCCGTGCCGCCACGCGTTGAACCTCATATTGCACCGATTGCTATCAAGCTTGATGGCAAAAATTATGGCGTATGGTCCCAGGTTGTTGAGATGTATGTCTCGGGCAAAGACAAACTAGGCTATTTGAATGGTGATTCTCTTGAGCCCTCTCCTACTGATCCGTTTTTTAGACAATGGAAGACCGATCATTCTACGGTGAAAGGTTGGCTTATCAATTCTATAGACCCAGCCTTGATACCAAACTTTATTCGGTTTCCTACTGCCAGAGCCGTATGGGATGCTGTGGCAACAACCTTTTTTGATGGATCTGACACCTCCCAAATCTATGATATTAAGAGGCAGGTTTCTCGATTGAAGCAAGGCGGTGGACCCATCGAGAAATATTACAATGATCTTCAAGGGCTCTGGCGTGAGATTGATTTCCGCCGTCCTAATCCTATGCAATGTCCTGCCAATATTCTGAGGTACAATGCCATTGTCCATGATGATCGAGTTTATACTTTTTTGGATGGTCTCGATGACCGCCTGGATAATGTTCGTGCTGATGTTATGAAGATGGATCCATTTCCCACTATTGAGCAAGCTTATGCCCGAGTCAGGCGAGAGGATATGCACCAATCTGTCATGCTTTCCACTCCTGACGAGGTCACCTCTGGTTCCGCCATGGTGTCACAGCGGGGCAAGGGTGATCAGTTAGTGCTTTCTACCCGGGGACCTCGCCCTAAACCTGGTATGCCAATTCAATCCGAGGGATGTTCTCACTGTGGGAATCCTAAACATATAGCATCATCTTATTTTAAACTGCATGGTTATCCGGACTGGTGGGATGATTTTCAGACCAAGAAGAAGAAATAGGGCTCCCAAAAGGGGCGAAATGGAGGGCAAGCCTCCTTAGTGACTAGCGGCTTGTCATTAATTCCCATGGAGCCTGAATCTGCTAATGCCGAATCTCTTGAAGGTAATTGTGGGTTTGTCTTTGCTAATGGACATGGTGATGGTCATCATGGGCGCTACAGATCATATGACTTCGGAATCTGGTGATCTTCTTACATCTACTACACCACGTCGAGATCATATTTACAATGCTAATGGATATAGCTTTCCTGTGACGGCTGCTGGGCGTGTGTCTGTCACGCCTTCTCTCTCTCTATCTCATACCTTGCTTGTTCCTTCATTGTCTAATCGTCTATTATCAGTTGGACAACTTACTAGTGAGTTGAACTGTGTTGTGCTTATGTACCCTGATTTTTGCCTGTTTCAGGACATTCTCACGAAGGAGATTATTGGGCGTGGTACTAAGAGGGAGGGGCTGTATTTCGTGGATGAAATTACTTCTAGACGGACCTATCATTCTCGTGGACAGTTAGCTCAAGAGAAGGAACTTTGGTTATGGCACCGTCGGTTAGGTCACCCATCCTTTGGGTATTTACGGCATTTGTTTCCCAAGTTATTTCATGGTCTATCGAACTCTAGTTTTCAGTGTGATACATGTATTTTGGCAAAGAGCCATCGCACTTGTTTTCCTCCCAGTTTGAATATAAGTTCTACTCCTTTTTCCTTAATTCATTATGATGTATGGGGTGCGTCTCCTATTACTACTGTATCTGGGTTTCGATGGTTTATCATCTTTGTTGATGATTGCACACGTATGACTTGACTATATTTGATGAAACATAAGAATGAGGCTGAAGCTATCTTTCGGACTTTCCACCATATGATTCAGACTCAGTTTGGGACCAAACTTCAAGTTCTCAGGTCTGATAATGGTGGCGAATACTTAAGTAAACCTCTTGTAGCTTATTTTCAAGAACATGGTTTGATACATGAAACTTCTTGCCCTCAGACTCCTCAGCAGAATGGTGTTGCTAAGCGCAAGAATTGCCATCTTCTTGAAACCACTCGAGCACTCTTGGAGGGTAGCCATGTTCCCCATCATTTTTGGGATTCTGCCGTAGTCACAGCTGCTCATTTATTGAATCGCATGCCTTCTCGCATTCTGAGCTATCGCACGCCAATGCAAGCACTTGCTGCCCATGTGTCTCTTCCTTCGGTGCTTACATTGCCTCCTAAGGTGTTTGGGTGTGTCGCTTATGTCCATCTTCACAAAAATCAGCGGACCAAACTTGACCCTTGTGCAATCAAATGTGTGTTTCTTGGTTATGGCCCTTCTCAGAAAGGGTATCGGTGTTATGATCTTGCCGGGAAGCGCACGTATGTCACCATGGATGTAACATTTATCGAGACGGAGTCCTATTTTCCTTACCCCCAGTGTCCTGTTCAGGGGGAGACTAGTTGTAGAACCAGACATTGGTGGGAGGTAGGAATTGCAGGAGCGACGGATGGGTGCGCACGGCCACGTGATTCTGAGGCTGCTAAGACTGAAGATTTTGAGCTACTGCCGCATGATTCTGAGGCTGCACAACCAGACAACACTGAATTACGGCATGGGTCCGAACATGTGTCAACAGATGCACAGCTGCAACAACCCTCCTTGTCTTCGCCCTCTTCGCACTCTTTAGTATCACTCCAAGCTCCTGAGAATGTACCTGAGGTAAGTACTTCTACTGTACTTGATTCTTTTGAAGATACTGATGTGCTTACTGGTTATAAGCTACCCGATAGGCATAATAGGGGTAAACCACCGAATCGATATTCTCCAGATGTAGAGGACCGCCAGTCTCGATACCCTATTGCAGACTATGTGTCTGCCAAGAGGCTGTCCACACCACTACAAGCCTCGTGTTTACGATTTCGTCAATTCAAGTTCCAAACAGGGTTGAAGAAGCCATGAAGGATCCGAAATGGCTTCAAGCGATGGAGGCAGAGATGGAGGCGTTGGAGAAAAATCGAACTTGGAAACTTGTGGAACTACCAGAGGATAAAAAACCGGTTGGATGTAGGTGGGTGTTCACAGTCAAACATAAGGCAGACGGCACTATTGAGAGGTATAAGGCGCGACTGGTAGCTAAAGGGTATACACAAACTTATGGGGTGGATTATCAAGAAACATTCTCTCCAGTTGCAAAGTTAGACACTATAAGAGTGTTGTTATCTCTGGCTGCAAACTTGGACTGGCCTTTGCATCAATTTGATGTGAAGAATGCATTTCTTCATAGAGATTTAGAGGATGAGATCTATATGGAGCTTCCACCTGGATATAGATGCGCAGATAAGCCGAACATGGTCTGTAAGCTAGAAAGATCATTGTATGGGTTGAAGCAGTCCCCTCGTGCATGGTTTGGTCGCTTTAGCTCAGCTATGAAAGGGTATGGATACTCCCAAAGTAACTCAGATCATACTTTGTTCTTAAAAGGTGCTCAAGGAAGAATGACAGCTCTTATCATATATGTAGACGACATGATTATTACAGGCAATGATAGTGCAGAGATTATAAGACTGCAGGAATTATTATCTAGGGAGTTTGAGATGAAGAACTTGGGAGGTCTGAAATATTTCCTGGGAATCGAGGTTGCTAGGTCAAAGGAAGGGATTTACTTGTCTCAGCGGAAGTATGTTCTTGATCTTTTGACCGAAGTTGGCATGCTAGATTGCAAGCCTGCAGACACTCCTATGGTACAAAACTGTAAGCTTGGAGAGTACCCTGATCAGACGCCTACTAATAAAGAGAAATACCAAAGGTTAGTAGGTCGATTGATTTACTTATCACATACACGTCCTGATATTGCTCATGCAGTAAGTGTGGTGAGTCAGTTCATGCATGCACCTAGTGAGGATCATATGAGTGCTGTGTGGCGCATCATTCGATATTTGAAGTCAGCCCCAGGAAAGGGGTTGCTATTTGCAAAGAATGGCCACCTTGAAATAGAAGGTTACACAGATGCAGATTGGGTTGGAAGTGTGACAGACAGGAGGTCTACATCAGGGTATCTTACATTTGTGGGAGGCAACCTTGTTACATGGAGAAGTAAGAAACAAAAGGTTGTAGCTCGGTCTAGTGCAGAAGCTGAATTCAGAGGTGTAGCAAAGGGGTTATGCGAACTTCTATGGCTTCGGAAGCTGCTAACTGAGCTCGGGTATCCACCAAGTTTGGAAATCAAATTGTTTTGTGATAATAAAGCAGCCATAAACATTGCTCATAATCCAGTTCAGCATGATAGAACCAAACATGTGGAGATTGACAGACATTTCATCAAAGAGAATTTGGAGGCAAAAGTGATCCGCTTACCATTTGTCAAATCGAAGACCAGGTTAGGCGATATATTGACAAAGGCTCATCAAGTAGAGAATTTCATTGCTCACTTATCAAGTTGGGTATCAAAGACATCTTTGCACCTACTTGAGGGGGAGTGTGGTCGTGAGCTATTTTAGCCTATTTGTTAGGCATTTTTATTGTATAGATTTCTTCATAGTATAGAATCCTTCCTATTGTATATCTCCTAATTAGGGTTGTCATATGTCCTATATATATAATAGGATTGAGCATTGTAAATGTACAGAAAAAATATTCATTGAATACAAAAAGGAGAGTCTTTTTCTACAATGTACACCCCATTAATCCTCAACCCAGTAAGCACTGCAGGATCTTATTTCGAGGGTAACCCATCAACCGACTACTTCATAAACCTCACCTCCATCAAGATCAATGGAAAAGCAGTCCCGCTGAGAGCGGCCTTACTGAACATCACTCAAGGAAACGGAGGGACGAAGATCAGCACTGTTAATCCCTACACAGTGATGGAAACCTCAATCTTCAAGGCCTTTGTGAAGGTGTTCAGACAAGAAGCCATGAACTTGACTAAGGTCTCGTCCGTTAAGCCATTCAAGTACTGCTTTAGCTCCAAGAACACTCCGAGCACAAGAGTGGGACCAGCTGTTCCGATCATTGATCTGGTGATGCACAGCAGCAGTGTTTATTGGAGGATCTTTGGAGCGAATTCAATGGTGCAAGTGAAGGAAGATGTCATATGCTTGGGTTTCGTCGATGGCGGTTCGAACCCAAGAACATCCATTGTTATTGGTGGCTATCAATTGGAGGATAATCTTGTTCAGATTGACTTGGAGAAAGCAAGGCTTGGATTTAGCTCCTCTCTTCTTTTCACGCAAACTACCTGTTCCAACTTCAACTTCACGGACCTTACCAAAAAAAAAAACTTCAACTTCACGTCAAGCGCGTGATTCTGAATCTGGTTGTTTGCTGCGGTTTCTATCCAAATTGCATGATGGATTTTGATGAGATCAATGAATTGGACGAATGTTGTATTCCTATTTTTTGCGAATTTAGTGAAAATAAGCTGCAAACTGTGGTTATCGCAGCCAAAGCCAAAAATAAAATTGCCTCAGAGATAATCATCCCATTGTGCTTTCATTGTAAAACTTATTTGTTTATGAAATATGGTTTTATCTTACACAGATCAGTGAATCATCCATGAAGTTCGCCATATTCAAAGTGGTCAAAGGACTAGAGTTTGTTTCACAATATTTGCCTCATTCCTATTAAAGCTTAACCAGTGAACTGTACCTGCTGGATCTTATGTGGAAAATAGAAATTTGCTTATCCATATGATAGTCTTACGGGTAAGTTTCAATATCAAAATGCGAAGACTTGACACTATAAACATATGGTTGGTCTATGAATAGGCAATTTTTTTCGTCAACTTTATTAGTACGGTCAAACATGACTTCATTTCGGATGGTTGCCGTTTTCTTTTTGGTGCGTGAAAAACAACGAAATAAGATTCCTGAAGATGCAGCCGGTCAAACCAAATGCCCACAGAAATTTAAAAGGAAAAAAAGGAAGTTTCCTTCATGCTCGGATGGACTTGCTGATTTGGGCCACTTTCCTTATTATTATAGTTTAGCTTGTGGGATATTGTATTTGCTGGTCAGAAGAGAATTTACTTGTGATTTGGGAGTGCTGTTCGTGTGTGCGCGCCTGCTCCGTGAGATAAGAAGTGGCTGCAACATTCGAGTAATCATGTGACGCTGAACACTGCGAGTTTTGGGTGTTATTTAAGATAAGGAAATACTTGAGCGTGTGAGTGATTGTAACTGAGTAATTCTCCAATTGTTTAGCGGATTATTTGCTGCTGGCTCTCCCCGTGAAGTAGGTACTTGCACTCGAACTGAATTATGTAAATCTGTTATATTCTTTGTTGTTTGCCATTTACCTCTCTCATGCTATTTAATTGCAAGATTCGTTAACTTCCACATCATTTTTCCAACAATTGGCATTAGCGCTAAGGATATGATTTTTTGGATTTGATTTGGGGCTTTAGCTTGTCTAACCGTTGTTTGGAAATTCTATTATTGCAAATCTATTTAGAGTGAAGTAGAAATTGAAATGTTTAACAGGGGGAACAACTTTGGGTTGTGGAATCGGGATAGAAATTAACATCGGTGGTCAAGCAACAGAGGTAAAAACATATCGAAGTTGTACCATAAAAAGTACAAGGGCTGCATGAAGTGCTTTGTGTGTTCTAAGGAAGGGAACATGAGGAGAGATTGTTCGAAATTGAAAAAAAGAGCTGATATGCCGAATGTCACAAACAATATGGCGAATATTGCCGAAGAGAGCACCAATGATGCGGATGCCATTTTGTGTGTGACTATAAGAGTCGCTCTTATTATATGATGTTTCTTAAAAACTGGTTTACTACTTACTAGATTGTGGATGGTGGTAGAGTTCTCACAGTGAATAATGCAACCTACAAGGTTATGAGAATAAGGACAGTTCAAAGTCAGTTGCACAATGGGATAGATTGCACACTGATAGACTTGAGGCATGTATTGGAGCTCAAGAAAAACTTATTTCTTTGAGGACACTCGAAGACATTGGGCACAAGTATACTACTAATGGTAGATTGCTGAAAATCTCTCGAGGTGCTGTGATGGCGATTGATAAGGAAGAAGGTGAATCCACTCTATCATATAGCAGGAGAGATTAGGCAAGACCTGCTATAGTTTCATCAGGTGAGTGAGACTCAAACCTGACTTGGATGTCGCATATGCGATTAGGGCACATGAGTGATGCTAGTGTGATGATGCTCAGTGGGAAGGGGTTGTTGAAGGGTAAGATGATAGAGAAGCTAGACTTGTGTGAACATTGCATCATTAGGAAGCAACACTGGATTAAATTCATTATAGCTATTCGTTCGAACAAACAACTAATTGATTACATTTACTCAAACGTTTAGGGCCTATCTTCGATTCCTTCGAAAGGAGGTGCCCAATATATGCTAATATTCATCGAGGATTATTCGAGGAAGGTATAAGTATAATATTTGAAACACAACTTCGATGTGTTTGATTGATTCAAGAAGTTTAAGGCACTGGTTGAGAAGATATAATGTAAAACAAATCAAGTGCTTGAGAACCAATAAGAGCATGGAATTCTATGGTAAAGATTTTATCAAATTCTGCAAGAAAGAAGAGATTGTGAGGTACCACACAGTGCTTAGGACACCACAATTGAATGGCGCCGTAGAACGTAAGATCAAAACTTTAATTGAGCAAGCTCATTGGACACTTTCACAATGTAGGACATGACAATGAATTTTTTACCGAAGCAATAAACATGGCTTATTACTTGATTAATCGAACTCCATCATCTACTATCAAGTGAAAGACCCCGGAGAAATTGTGGTAGGGGAAACTTGTTGAACACTCTGGATTACGAATACTCAGATATCCTACGTATTCTCATGGGAGTAAATGTGATTGAGCGATTGTAATGTTAAGTTTGTCGATTATATCTGAACCATTTCATCTATATCTCCCCTTCAAGTAAGCATACCACCAAACACCAACGTAACTCTGTTTTGTTCAGCTTTTATTTCTGTAATTTATATCTTACTCAAATCATTTCATTTGTTCACGCTTCCGCAATACACGTAAAAGTGTATATATAAGCTTCATCACTCGTTTGGTTAGATAATAATATATTAGTAAAGAACCTTTTTCAAGTGGCAAGGATTTGTGTAATCCAAATCCTATATTCCTATGAAACAATTTTGAAGACATGGTGACTTGTTGAGTTTCATCTTCCACATCATGGAATTTTCATTGTCATATCCAACTGAATGCACAATTGCATAAAACTCACCAGCGTACGAGTGGAGAGGCACTCGAGCAGCTAAGCAAGTGAAGACTAGACTTGGCACACAGTCTGCCTTCCCGACCATCCTCACATCGATGGACTGAATGATGGCAGTATCAGCAGCCACCTCGTCGTCGCCACTGTTGCTAATAATGAATGACCTTTATCAACTTTTCTCCTAGGTTTTTATTTCTGCAAAATGTACGCCCTTTATGCCATGTGCTTCTATTCCCTATCATGAAATAATTTATTCAAGTATCGACTGATGAGTAGATAAAGTAAAGGCAATCATGGGTGTCTGGCTGAGACATCTATCGAACCTTTCTTTGTCTCATTACTCTAATTTCCTCGACTCCACTAAGGTTGCCTCGTCATCTTGTTCATCAATGATGTTCATTATTTTTAGTATGTTTTTATTGTGATTTGGAGATTCTCTTTATAGGCAAATAAAGTGGAGAGTTAATAATGAAATAAATCAAATTAAATGTTACAAAATCGTTACAAAATGATTGTAATCATACTTTCCATTAAAGACATTTTAAAACAATTGCTTCAAATAATTCAAAACCATTGAAATATCCAACATGATCAGTAGGCGTTGGCATACTATAATGAGAAAGACTGCGAAAAGAATGCTTTCATCGAGTTGAGTAAACTGCGACTATTAAAAGGAACACTCAAATTGTTGTTAGAAATGAACCATTTTCCCCAAAAATGTAAACTATCAAGAAAGGAGCTGATAAAATTAAAGTACACTTCATAATAGGTGCAATAAAATTTCGGAATGTTCGAAGGTGAGAATTTGTAGGTGCACTAGGAAAATCAAATCTCATCGACTAAACAAGCAGTAGAGTAGAGAATGTTATATGATTGGCACAACCAATCAACCAAAGAGGGGGTAAATTAGCTTTTATAAAGTGACACTCTACTTGTAAATTCCGCTTCTACCTCTATGTGAATTACTCACGTACAAAGCGAAAAATAAAGAGTTTAAGGGTGAGAGAAAATGGTTGCCAATTTGGAGAGGTTCAACCAGTGATGCAACGTCCTCTTCCCTAGCTCTAGTAGGCAAATTCCTCGTCAATCATGTCCAAAATCAATCCCCAATCATGGTTATGAATGAATTTTTTTTCTAAATAGGAAGTTTTGATCATAGGTTCATAGAATCAACACCTTTTTCATTTGGGTCAGCCCTACTCTAACTCTCATCTCACTCCCAGACTTTTGTTTTGCCTCTTTGCAGAGCATGGAAGTCGAATCCAACACCTAAAACCAAACGATCGCACCCCACCCAATTCCCTTACCATTAAACCGTGTGCTAGTGGTGTAGAATCAAGACTTGGTTTTGCAGCTCTAGAACCCTTGATTTATAAGGACATCATTTCTCTATTAGGAAAGGATAGTTATTTGAATAATTTAATCGAAATCTTTGATTTATGAGCTGAGGACATCATTTCTTCTATATATATATATATATTAATCAATCATTTTTTACATTAATTAATCCTTCGTATATACATAATGAATGATCAATTTTTGTCGTTCAACCTTTTTGTTATTCAAGGTTTTTTTCCTTTTTATTTAATATGTGTTTGTTCTTTTTTCTAGAATCTTTTATTTAGTTCTACTAAAGTGGCTATGTTTATTAGATTTTAACAAATTTTCTTTATATTAATATTGATATATATTTTTTCAGATAATGGTATTTAGTTAATTTATTATTCTTTAATTTTCTATTTTTTTCTCATTTTTTACCGCAATTAAGGTAAAAGACAAATTTCCTCCATCTATGAACTGTAAGATTCCAACAAACGGAGAGCTAACAACTATAACAAAATTAAATTTCGGGAGTATTGTTTAATAGTTGAAAGTTTAGGAGCTAATGTATACTACCCCACAATTCAGAGGGGTATTGTGTAGTTTCCCCTCGTTAGTATCTTACAATTCTCGATTTATATCTTAGAGTTCGAGGTACAAACGTTGATGATCTATGTGAATCTAAGAAACATTGAACCCTCATATGTTGATTCACCACTGAATCTAACGACTTGATATGGATCTATCAATTTTTGATTCATAGTTTGTTATATATTCCTATCAATTAAAGTAGGTTTTGTCCTGTTTCATGGTGTATACTATATTTAACATAGCTTCATAAAAAATTTGTTAATTTGATAAATGTGTATTTATTTTTAAATGTAATAGATTTTAAGATGAATATGTGCTACAATATCTTATGTTATATTTAACATGCACTAGAAAGTAAGAATCTTTGCATGTGATCATGAATTTACGTAAAACTTGTTATTTTGCATTTTTCTATTATTTTATATGTTTTTGTGTTAACAGGAACTAGTTTTAGTTATTTTAGTGTATCTTACTATTCGATTCCGTTCTCCATTCAAGATCAATAAATTTGAGATTTTGATTTCCGATTCGTATTTCAATTCGACAACTATTTGGTCGGCAGAATAAACTAATACAATATGCGACATCTTTGAGGCCTACGTCAATTGGGTTTCAAACAAAGATGTGAAATTTCAATGCAACTCTGGTGGATTTTTCCAATTATTATGTTATTCGTACCGTCCACCCGTTCACACTAGAAAGTGCCAGCGGACTACTTGTACCTCACCAATAATTAATGACATTTATTTATGAAGAAGACGACAAAGCAACTTTAGTTGCTCATTATCTAACAAAATGCTCCACCACGAATAAGATATATAATAAGATCACGTGGCCTACTTGTCTCAACCAATTGTCCTTATTAATTGTTTATTTGATGGTGCCAGATTAATTAATTTAGGATGTAGATAACATCACATGGCCTAAAGGCATATGTACCTTTGTTCAAACCCCTATAAGAGGCCATGATTTTTTCATTCTATCTCCACCAATTAAAGAAAAAAACGTCATTGTCCACTAATCTTTCTTCTTCTATTCGCAATGGCCACTTCCTCTAGTTTCATTTTATGTTCTTTGCTCCTGTGCTTGGTCTCTTCCCAAACCCTAGCCACTACTGGTTCTCAGCCCAAAGCACTAGTTATTCCTGTGACCAAAGACTCCTCAAAGCTCCAATACACAACCCAAATCAAGCAAAGAACACCACTTGTGCCCATTAAGCTGACCATTGATGTGGGTGGGAATTTCCAATGGGTGGATTGTGGAAGCGGGTACTTGTCGTCTTCCTATAGGCCAGTCTCTTGTGACTCTCAAACCTGCACGGCTTCAGGGTCGGGAGCATGTACGGCAGAATGTTACACTCCTCCTGCTCCTGGGTGCTACAACAACACCTGCAGCCACATGACTAACAAACCGTTTGGCAACAGCGGTGGCATGGGCGAGATGGCCTCCGACACCACCGTCATCCAGTCCACCGACGGGAGGACGGTTGGGAAGGCGGTCACGGTGCCGGGGGCAGTCTTCACGTGCGGTGCCACTTGGCTGCTTGGGGGCCTCTCTGCTGGTGCTCTGGTGAGTTTAGTTTGATTAGACGGATTGGACGCGAGAAGGGAACACAACATGACAAACTTCTTGATTACAACACATGAAATACTGGTTAAAAAGAGAGGACTTTCTTTTTAACCATGTTATAAGGCAAATTGCAGTATATCAGAGAACAGAGGAGTCGTCTTTTTTGTGATTTTTATCACGACATATTGGTGTGTTTTGTCGAACATGTTGGAAAAAGGTTCTTGATCTTTGCACTAGCGCTACTAATCAGTACATATGAAAGGAAGTACAAATATGATTGGCCAAAACTAATTGATACTTTCTTGCACTCCAGGGAATGGCCGGGCTCGGACGATCAGAAGTGTCCCTCCCTGTCCAATTTGCTTCTGCTCTCAAATTTCCCAAAAAATTTGCCATGTGCTTGAGCTCTTCTTCAAGCTCCAACGGTGTCATATTCTTTGGCGACGGGCCTTATGTGTTCCTCCCTAACGTTGAGGTCTCTAAGTCACTTATGTACACCCCATTAATCCTCAACCCGGTAAGCACTGCAGGATCCTATTTCCAGGGTAACCCATCAACTGACTATTTTATAAACCTCACCTCCATCAAGATCAATGGAAAAGCAGTCCTGCTGAATACGACGTTACTGAACATCACTGAAGGCAATGGAGGGACAAAGATCAGCACCGTTAATCCATACACAGTGATGGAAACATCAATCTTCAAGGCCTTTGTGAAGGTGTTCAGACAAGAAACCAAGAATTTGACTAAGGTCTCGTCCGTTAAGCCATTCAAGTACTGCTTTAGCTCCAGGAACACTCCGAGCACAAGAGTGGGACCGGCTGTGCCAATCATTGATCTGGTGATGCACAGCAGCAGTGTTTATTGGAGGATCTTCGGAGCAAATTCGATGGTGCAAGTGAAGGAAGATGTCATATGCTTGGGTTTCGTCGACGGTGGTTCGAACCCAAGAACGTCCATTGTGATTGGTGGATATCAATTGGAGGATAATATTGTTCAGATTGACTTGGAGAAAGCAAGGCTTGGATTTAGCTCCTCTCTTCGATTCAAGCAAACTACCTGTTCCAACTTCAACTTCACTTCCAGCGCGTGAGTGGGGATTTGTCTGTTTCTCGTGCTTTCTGTGCAAACTTGTGTGACGGATTTTGAAGAGATCAATAAAGTAAATGAATGTTGTATTCCTAAATTTTGCGAATTATAGTGAAAATAAGCTGCAAACTGTTGGTTATCGCAGCCAATAATAAAATTGCCTCAGACATAGTTATCCCATTGTGCTTTCAATTAAAACTTATATGCTGATGAAATATGGCAAATTCTTAGACAGATCAGTGAATCACCTCTTTTGAGGCTATTATTGCACCTTCTTCCCTAGAATCATCCATGATGTTCGCCATATTCAAAGTGGTCAAAGGACTAGAGTTTTTTTTACAATATTGCCTCGTTCCTATTAAAGCTTAACCAGTGAACTACAGTACCTGCTGGATCTAATGTGGAAAATAGAGATTTGCTTTTTCATATGATCCTCTTACGGGTAAGTTTCAACACCAAAATGCGAAGACTTAAACACTCTATACATATGGTTGGTCTATGAACAGGCAATTTTTTTTCATTAACTTTATTAGCACAGTCAAACATGACTATATTTTTTGCCACTGGTCCAACATATATATGTTTGCATGCCACTTTAAAAGAATTTATTAAATTTGATACTATAAAATCGACCCTATATTTATTGGGAGACTTCATATGGTTGCCGTTATAATTTTGGTGCGTGAAAAACAAGGAAATAAGGGTTCTGAAGATGAAGCCGGTCAAATCAAATCCTCGCGGAAATTTAAAAAGAAAAAAGGAAGTTTCCTTCATGCTCGGGCGAACTTGCTGATTTGGGCTCACTTTCTTTATTATTAATATATTAAGCAAAAGCCACTAAAGACTCTAAACTATACTCACCGTGATGTATTTATTCTAAACTTTTTTCTGTGACATAAAAAATCTCAAACTTGTATATGTGTGACACATTTACTCTCTATCAAAGTTTTGTTAATGAGAACCATTAAAAATTTGCATATATGGACGCTAGAAAGCAAACAGTGTTGACATGGTACCCACGTGGTTTAAGTGAAATATAAAGGACGTTGTTTTGGCTGAAAAATCATTTAATGGAACCTTGACGAAGGGTAAATGTGTCATATAGGTACAAATTTGGGGTTTTTTATGTTACAAGAAAAAATTTAGGGTAAATGTATCATAGTGGACATAGTTTGGGGCTTTTGATGTCACAAAAAAAGTTCAAGATAAATGTGTCATAGTGATCATAGTTTGAAGTTTTTTGTTGTTTTTTTCCTGCTATATTTTAGCTTGTGGGATATTGGTTTTGCTAGTCAGAAGAGAATTCACTCATGATTTTGGAGTGTTGTTTGTGTTATTTAATTACAATATTTGTTAGCTTCCCAACTATTTTTCCAACAATTGGTATAGACTTGATTTGGGGCTTTTGCTTGTTTGATTGTTTTTTTTTTAAATTATGTCGCTGCAATCATTTTTTTGAGTGAAAGTAGAAATTGACATGTTTAATAGGAGGAACAACCAGGATGTAGTGTGGAGACTAGTAAGTCGAGGTAGACATCAACACCAGTGGTCCAGCAACAAAGGTAAAAATAGGTTGAAATCAAACCAAATAAAGTACAAGGGCTGTGTGAAGTCTTTTGAGTGTTATAAGGAGGGGAACATGAGGATAGATTGCCCAAAAGTGAGAAAAGAGCTTATATGTAGTTTTCACAAATAGCGTGGTGAATATTGCCAAAGAGAAAACCAATGATGCGAAGGTCATCTTGTGTGTGACTACCGGATCGGCAATAGATAAATGGATGCCAAATTTGGGGTGTTTTTATAATATGATGCCTCATAAAAACTAATCTACTACATATCAGATTACCAATGGTGGTGGAATTTTGGTGGGGAATAACGTAACTTGCAATGTTATGGAATAGCGACATTTTCATATTTGAATGCACAATGGGATAGATTGCACACTAATAGACTTAAGGCATGTAATCGGAGCTCAAGAAGAACTTATTTATATGGGGACACTCGATGACATCGGGTGCAAGTATACAACTAATGGTGGAGTGTTGAAACTCTCTCAAGGTGCAATGATAGTGATCATGTCACGCCCCGAACCCTAACGAGCTCGCGACATCCCCTGCTCCGGTCGAAATGATGCGACGTCCTAGGAACGTCGCCGACCCAACCCAAACATCAGAGCCACATGCGGAAGCGAATAACAAAACCCCGGACAAATAATGACAACAACGGGGTAGAACAACAGAACAATCCAGCAACCACATATTCATACAACACCAAATATACAAACATCATATTACAGACATAAATACAGACTAACATCCTCAGTCACCGTTTAAACAAAAGTTCAGGGGTTTGGTTATCTTCACTTCACTATCGGATAACCCAAGTTATACAACCCCTAAAACACCCTAGGGAAAAACCTAAGGGTCGCCCTCCTCCTCGGTTGCTTCTAAATCTACGCTTGAATCTCTCGGAACTCACTGCGGCTCCACCAGGCACCAACAGTAGCTCCCCGGACTTCCAAAAAGAAAAGGCACACTTCCAGGGTTTAGGGGCGGGGTTCGAAAGTGGCGGTTATACAATCGTGAGACGAATCTCAATAAGTGTACAACCCCAAACCCCATGTAGGCACTCACGTACCGCCGGACGAAAACACACATAACACACAACGATCGGCCAAACTAACAATCACATGCGACCCTACACGGAATCCATCACGCACGTTCTCGCACGTTAGACAATAACACGCCAACACATCACAGCAAGGACTCACAGACGTGCGCGTGCCTCAATTATAAGACAGAAACCACTTGGGCACGTCCCATACCGTGCCTAGCAGTTTCTACCCCATAATTAAGCATCACATCGCGCGATACAAACACACTCGCACGCTTCTCACACCATGCGTCACTTTCCACAATCCTCTCGCTTGTCTTGCCAAATCCCACTCATTCTCAACCTTTCCACCACTACCGCGCCCGCGTAAAACGCATCAGGCCAACGGTCTTCTGACCTCGTCAGGCATCGTCACCCCGTCGGGCCGAGCATCGTCACCTTGTCAGGGACGGCATCGTCCCGCGTAAACGTACACGCCTCAGGACGGAATCCTACACACACTTTCCTTCTACCGCGCCCACGTAAAACGCATCAGGCCAACGGTCTTCTGACCACGTCAGGCATCGACACCCCGTCGGGCCGGGCATCGTCACCTCGTCAGGGACGGCATCGTCCCGCGTAAATGTACACGCCTCAGGACGGATCCTTTCCAACCAATCCTACATTTCCGTACCCTCGTTCCACTCAAACCACACTTACACATGGCCAGCAACACTCACGGTCATACACAACCTCACGCCTTACACACAATCCACCACGTATGGTCAAACATACACACCTCACACACATTTCACGATTACTCATTCTCGTCACACGAACACGCACACATAACCACACACTCTTGGTACACAAATTCATTGCACAATCACACTCCCATACTCACACACCTCACAGCCACACACACGAGGCACACGGCCAAGCCACATTCATCCGAAACACACACCAAACCAGCCAACCATCACGAGCCACACAACCACACAACAAAGTGCCATTCAAGACATAATTCTACCAATCAATCGCACAATTCAGTCACAATCAATCCACAACACCTCAGCCATCATCGAGCCTCCTAAACCTCGCAAATTTCCTTGCCAACTCAGTCTCCGATTCAGCCCACAACAACCACACAATCAGCCTTCAATTTAGTCCTAAAATAGTCACATAAACTACCCGAACTAAACCCTAAACATGCCCTACGATACCCGAACTCCTATATGACATTTGGGGAAAATACTTACCCAAAAAGGCGAGACAGAACGGGGCTGGAACGAGGCGGGACAACTGACGGCGGGGCAGCATGTGTCGCCGCGATGTACGGACGGCGTGAAGCAGTGTACCCCCGTACGGGCACGCGGTGAATGCAGTACCACCCCGTACGGACAATGTACGAGACAGTGGGACGGTGGCCGCGAGTGCTCCGTGATAAGCCGCGCGTCCGTGCGGTCCGGCGTGAGCAGTGATCCGTACAGGGGACGGTGAAACAGTCACCGTCACGGACAACTTGCACGGACGGTCTTTGGCAGCGGCAACGTATGGACGTCTTTGGGCCAGCAGGTGTCGACTGGCAGCGATCGGACTCCGGCGAAGCTCCGTGATCTTGTTCTGAGCGGGAAGAGAGAAAAAGAGAGAGAGAGGCTGTACATTACGGATTTAAACCAAGGTGTGGTGGCTGAACAGGTGAGAGGGAGGTCCAAAGGTGTCTTTGTGGCGACGGCCCAGTGGGCGGCCGGCGGCTCAGTCGGGTGCTTTGTTCCGGCGTGAACAGTGCACAGAAAATGCGATAACCGAAGGCTGAGAACAAGAAACGGAGAAGAAGAAGAATTTGCACGGGGAAATGACCGAATAGGCTGAGAGGAGAGAGAGAGGGTCTGGTCAAATAGGTCAAAGATGGTGTGAGTGGAATCCATGTGTCTCAATCTAGGCCAATTGGACAATTTTGCCCTTGATCCAATGGCTATCTTTCCTTCTCATCCAATAATTTAGGGGTGAAATGGTCTTTTGTCCCTAACCATGGTTGACCAGACCTGGTTTAATCCCAATTAACCTTGGTTAACCCCAAAATTTTGACCAATTTTCGGAATTAAATAAAATGGTCTTAGGGGCATTTTCGTAATTTTCCGATCCCGAACCGAAATTCCAATTTTCACACATACATATTCCATATGTGCGTGGCCAACATAATATGGCGTCGGAATCGCGAAATTCATCGCGCAAGCCCTCGAAAATCCACGTCAAAGTCTCGGGAATAAAATAATATTATTTTTCCAATTTTTGTCGAAATTCCAATTTTTGGCCAAAATGACTCCTGGTATGCGTGGCCACCCCAAAATGACACTAGCCTCGAAAAATAACCTCAAACGACTTCAGAATCGCCATCGGTGACCAGAGGGCAAAATCGTCATTTTCCGGGTCCCGGACCGAAATCCATTTTTTTGCAGA